AAAAAAAAAAAAGCCTATGTTTACTAATTGAATTTTCTTGCTGATGTGCCCTTATAGTAACTGCCAGGAAAGCATCTCAGTCTACTTCCCCCTTACATAGGAACTAGACTCAGAGTAAGGCAAGAGGAGGCCAGAAACTCAACAGTATTGACAGAGTTAGTACACAGCCCACAGGTCTTGGGATACATGCTAATTAACGACAAGTGGAAAATAACTAAGTGCTAGCAATGATCTCTCATTTGCCATATACTTACGCTTATCTTTGTTCCATCATTGTCCAAGTCTCTCTCTGGTAAGAGCTCCACCTATTGGGAAAGAATAACATTTGTGACAAGCTGCATGCAGTGCCAAACTGCTGTGCCTGCTGCAAGCTAATCATTAAGGCAGAGCCTGTCTGACAGGCAGCCTGTGTCTGAGAACACTTGCATGCTAAGTGTGCCACCTACGGGCCAAAACACATTCCTGTGTGCTGCAAAGGGCTGGCAGACTTGGAAAGAAAGAAAGAAAAAGTAACTGAAGTGAACAATTCCAAATCAGTTTTCTACTACAGCTCTCCCAGCAGCAAGCGTGAAAGAGCTGGGGCTCACTGACACCACACAGTCTCCTGGAAACCAGAACAGAGGGATATTGCCTTGGTTTAGGATGGAGCTCTGGACTGCACTCCTTTGCTGTTTGGCTTCAGCGTGGATCCTGAGCTTACAGACCTTTGTGAATGAGAACAGAAGGGGGAAGAGCTTGTTGAGACAGGGCACAGATCCCTCCCTCCTATCTCAGGGGAAACGCTGACAGCGACGGCGGGCTTGATCCCACCTGGGAAAAACTAAACCACGTAGGTTCCTGTGGGGTTGTCCTGAAATCCTGCATGAAATACATTTTTCATGCTATTGAAGATGATCAGGACTGGTGACTAGCAATCCAGCGGAAGGGGCCCGGGGAGGTTCCTTAAAAGGAAGCGATCTGGTCAGTGCCCTGGGTGCTCGCCTTTGAAGACTACAGTCCTGCACTTTCCCTTGCAAGGCGTGTGCCCTCCCCGCCACTCTTCCTGCAGCTGCACTCGGGCGGGAGTAGTCAGACCTGCACATCGCATTGCACTAATGAGGCACTGATCGCCGATCTTTGCCATTGGGGAACTAAATCCCCGCGTGCAGCAGCCTCTTAGCATGCGCTCTTAGAAATAGAGACCCAGGTTTGGGGCGATCCGTGTGGCCTCCCTCTGATCTGAAGGAGGTCCAGTGCCCTGCCCTGGGCAGGGCAGACCGGAGCCTTCGGGGTGATCCAGCACCTCCCTGCCCCTCTCCGTGGTTCCCCCTCCCTCGACAGCGTATCAGTACCTGAGTGCCCGTCACCTCGGCTCCAGCCTCCTGGTCCTCGGCGGCCCGCAGGAACCACCACTGGATCTCGAGGTACACCGAGGCTGAGCCGCTCTGGAAGGCGCAAGACATCTCCACGTTTTGCCCTTCGGTGGCCGTGACATTTCGGGGGAACTCAGTGAATTTTGCTGCAAAACAAATGCACAGCTTACTGGGATCTGCCTCCCTCTCTCTTCTTCTCTCCTCTCTGTTTTCTCCTGGGTTTTGCCCCCTCTCCCTTGCTTTCCCCCTTCCCCTTGCTTTCCTTCTCCCTGCATTTTTTTTTCCAGCTGCTCCTCTTCTTCTCCCCACCCACTGCTCATGTCTCCGTTGTCTCTTTCGGATCCCCTTTCCCCATTTCTTTTCTCCTTAACCTGCCCTCCCCCAGGAACCCACCCTTTCTCTCCAACACAGGTGCAGATTTCCTTCACTATACTCCCCCATCTTGTACTCACGTCCCGCTGATGTGAGGGCTACATACACCAGGGAAGGTTCCCTGGGGTGAGCAAAGTTACAGATAATTATATCCAAATATTCTGGGATGAAATGCAGGATTTCACCCAACTCACTGAGGGATTCAATACAAACCAATTGGGACAACCAATCCAGTCGATTTACTGTGGTCAGTAGGTGAGCCTGTGAATTATTAGACCCTGAGTGGCTATCGGAAATACAGATTTTTTTTTCTAAGGAGAGGGGTTATGATCACTCATCAAAGTCTACATTTCAAGCACGTCATGGGAGTTACCTATTCTTTAGCGTGTATTCTTAACCAGGAAAGCTGAGACATGGCTATTTCTGACCATCCTCTGTCCTAGCAGACACTTTCCAAAAACTAACCTGCATTTTGATATCCCCTGCAGTATGACTGTGTCCTCTCAGTAGAAGTACCCTTCAGAGAAAATCATACAGATGGGTGTATTTTAAGACCCCATCATAATCATACCTCCCTGCACTCTCCTAGGCTTGTATGCACCTTCCTTCAAAACAGTGCAACCCTATGGAACCTACTCTGGCCAGGAAACTGGGAAACCAAGGACATGGATGAGGAAATAAATGAATAAGCCCTGTGCTTCAAATCAAAGAAATGCTGGGCATTATCAGAACCATTGCTCAAAGAATTCACCAGGTAGTTTTCCATTGCCAGTTGTTACAGGTTGATTTGGGCATATTACCAAGCCTAGGAGGAAATATTTGGACTGCATGCCTTTCTATCCAATGCATCTAATCTGGTTATGTGAATCCTTGGATCTGAGGGATGATTTGGGAATATAACGGACCAGTTTCACTTTTAAATACATATTCCTTGAAGCAGACTTTCTAAAGGCTTGCGATCATTTTATATATTCTCAAGGCATTTGTAAAACCCTACATGATACTGGGCCAGGGCTTGCCATGAGCAGGCAAAGAGATCTTTCATTCTGCCTACTGAAGAATTAAAAGAAGTTTTCCTCCTTGGTCAGTGCTCGACAAAACCCAAGAGTTGTGTTTGCAGAGCTGGTGCAGCGTTCAGCGGGCTGAAATGTTCACTGCAGCCCTTAAAGTCCCAAACAACTGGATTCTGCAGAGCCAGGGCTGCTTGGGATGCGAGACGCGCCTGTTCGCGGGGGCTTCAAAGAGGTCCATCTTTTTGAGGGATACACGTAGTCACCGAAGGGAACGAGGGGTCTGAGCAGGAGGATCACAGCATGACAGAAAAGAATGGAAAGGGGAACCAAATCCCCTCTAGATTGCGATAGCCAAGGGAGGCATTTGACTAGGCATCCTATTCTCCTTGTGAATGCAATAATTATGCATGCATGGGTGGGAATGCATTGTGCACAGACATATATACACACAAGCCAAACACGAGTGTATGTCCATTCACTGAAGGCACAGCATACACAAACACACGCCCGCACACACACAGACACACACGCACAGCGTCCCCCCCCCCCTCTTTTTCCAAAGTCTTTCTTTTTCTCTCTTCTCTGAAATCCAGTAAGAGAAGTCTGTTTTATGCTCACTTTGGGGAAACTTCTCCCTCCTCTCTTGCTGTTTCCATACCATTCCTAAGCCACATTCCCCCTCCCCGTCGGCTTCAAGCTCGGCTCAGAAGCTCATGAAACACGCACCCGCAGACATTGGGTAACGAGCGTTCTTACCTTGGGTGGAAAGTCCTTGCTGAATATACATCACTGAAAAGAAAATGAATCCAACATAAGCCAGAAAGATCCCCATCATTCCAAAGCGAAGAAAAAGTCACATCAGGGTAACAAAAGCCAAAGGTGCCCTCAAAGAAAGGAATAATACAAGGGAGGAGGAGGGATGGGAGCGGGGGATAAATTACAAAGCGGCTGGGTGCTGTAGCCCTGGCTGCGACACTGCTCGCATTCTGCTACTCAGTGCAATCTTGTCTCTGGGAAGAGCGGGGGTTCTAATACACTGAGGTTCAGATCAGCTGGCGCGGGCGCTGTGATGCTTGAAGTCCAGATCCAGACTCAGAAACCGATGAAAAGTGGGGATCAGCTGCCTTCTGTGCCTTTTTTTTCCTCCAGCTACCTGGCAGCTCCGTCCAACGTCAGCTCCTGCTGCTCAGGATTGCGTGATGACTGCCCTCCCTAAACAGTGATCCGGCTTGGGAAAGTGGGGCGTGGGGGAGACTGGCAGGGGGGAGGGTGGGAGAGGAGTCTACATGGCTTGCATCGCCTCAACTTTTCCCTCTAATGGCTGCGATGATGCCTTTAACCCTTCCTGCTCTTGGCGTTGTGTGTTTGTGTCGCTCTCTCCACCTGCTCAGACAGCTACAGGGTAACACGCTGTGGGGGAGTGGAT